GGGTCTCCTTCGGTCTTTGTGACCAAGCCAGCCCTGAGGGTGGGGGGCACAGAGGCCTGCCTGTCGGGTACTGGAGGCAGCAGGTAGGTGCAGGCTGTCTGAGGAGAGCCTCCGGCCTGCCGCCACCATTTGCTTTCATGAATCTGTTTCTCTGATTCTCCTTCCAGGCCAAAGTGTGCTGCTGACTCCCTGCCCCACTGTCTTTGCCTGCCCCGGCGGCACCGGCCCTCTCGCGTGGTGGGTGGGGGAGATGAGGGGCTCAGTGGCAGGGAGCTCGCTGCCCCTGGGGAGATGGGGCTAGGATCGCGTGCCTGACCACTCCATCCCTCCTTCCTAGGATGCATAACCTACCTTGTCTTTTTATTTTTTTAATTTTTTTCCTGATAGAGTAGCTCTTTGTACATAAAAAATACTTGAAAAATTAATTGTATGACGTATGAGAAGACAGAGTCCCCTAGTTTTGTATCTCGTGTATGACTGCCATGAGTTCCACCAGAAAGCCGCTCTATTTTGGTCTCTGTGACATTTTAAATGCGTGACAGAAGTGAGCAAATAAAGTGAGAAAGAAATATATATATGAGATAATATAGATTGTATTGAAATCTCTGCCTGTGGGTGAGGTTTTTCCCTTCCTCTTCTCCAGTGTGTGTGTGTGTGTGTGTGTGTGTGTGTGTGTGTGTGTGTCTTGGGGTGGATTTAGTGGTTATGGGCAAGGGTGTCTTAGGAAACCCCCTTCCTTCCGGATTGTAGGTGTAGGCTGAGGAGGGTGGATTCACATTGCCAGAGGCAAAAATCGGGGTCCAGGGCCCCACTGGATAGTGTTTCCCCTCTTCCCCGGCCAGTGGGACACAGTGGCCTCCTTGGTCCACTGGCCGCAACATCCCACAGGGCTGTTGTGTACAGTCGGCTGATGCTTTGTGCCCCATTTTGTCAGCCAGCTAGATGGGGCCTGCGTTCTGGCAGCCCCACTCCTGCAGGTGTCTTCCAGGGGTTTGAAGAGATGCCCCTTCCTCCTTCCAGGCTATCTTCCTGCCTTCCTGAGTCCACCCTCTGTCCCGGGACCCTAGGTGCCTTCCCCAAGGGGCAAGGAGGCCGGGAGAAGGGCCTTCAGGGCAGTGGGCAATCGCATGACACCTGGTACCTTTCTGCCACCAAGGCATGTCTTCCGGGCAGGCTGTGCTGACAGGAGCACTCAGGAATGCAGCGTGGGCGGGGGAAATTCCCAGCCCGCTGACCTCCGCTTGTCCCTCCCGCAGCTTCCTGCTGCCCTGTCTGCAGGCCCGAGCTCAGTGTCCGGGATCAGGGTCCTGGGCCTCAACCTGACTTGGGGAAAAAGGTCTGTGGACCAAGACAACCCATGTGGTTTGACCCTTCCCCCGATTTCAAATGCTACACGTTCGACAGAAGCATCCTTCTCCCAGCCCCACCATCCCTCCATACCCAGCCACTCAGAAATCGTCCTCGCCTTTGGGGTAAACGCTCACTCTGCATTACAGCTTGCAGCCCCTCGGGTTCCCAGTGCTCGTCACATCTGTGCCCTTAGAGTACTTTAGTTATACAGGAGGGTAAACTGAGCTGCAAGAAGCTAAATAAGTCATCCAAGGTCATACAACTAGAGAAAAACACCTTGCTTTAACCCCAGTTTCTCTGATCCACAGATCACAGAACACTCCACTCCTCAGGGTGTCCCAGAAGGGCTGGCAGATTGGGTTGAATTCCAGGGACTTCGGGGCCTAGGGTGAGACACAGGGTTGCAATTTAGGCGTGCAGGCTAGGACTAAGGAAGCCACTTCTCTCCCTGCCTCCCTGTGACTTCCGGAACATGAGGAAAATATTTTTACTTGGCTATAGATTATCCGACCTCAGTGTGAAAGTGCTGGAAAGATTACTCTCAAATCAGGGAATTTTCCTTTCTGGGCGGGACTGTTTATTTGCTGAAGGGATGCCCAGAGAATTTAACCCTACATTTCATCGTCCTCCTGGCTCTTGCCTTCCCCAGGGAAGCTCCTTGACTCTAGGCAACCAGATGGAAGGACAGGTGTTTTATCACCACTCTTCCCAGTTCCCTTCTCCAGCCCACCCCTCAAGCCCAGGTGCAAGAGCTGGTGATGGGGCAGTTTCCTCATCAGCAGGTTGGGGCTAACCTCCCGGCCAGCAGAGGTTCCAGCCTGGGATTGAAAGCAGAACTCTATCTTGGGCCCCTCATTCAGAACGCCCCCCCTCTCAAATAGACCAAGACATGCTTCTAAACTGTGGAAAAAGGGAACTTGACTTTATTCAGAAAGTCTACAAAATACAGAAGGCGGATAACTCGCTTACTGTAAGAAAAATAAATAAATTCTTGGGGCCGGGCAATTTTTTAAAAACATTTTTTGGTTGTTTTTGTCAGCCGGCTTTCCCAAAATATAAGATAAAATGTGATTTACTTGCAGGTATAAAATATAAAGTCCAGCTCAGGGCCACACACCACTTTTCCCAGACAGTGGGCACAGGGGCTCTGGCTGGGGAGAATAACTTAGACTCGTGCAATAAATAAACAGCAGGGAGAGGAAGCTGTATAGTGAGGGGGATGGGAGGGGCTGGGGCCAGGCTACCCAGGAGAATGGCGATCAATGGCAGTGGTCAGTCCCCACCCCACAGTGGACAGCCACAGGTGGATCCTTCCCTTTTAAGGACCGCAGGATCTGTCTTCTCATCTGCCCACCTGCCACCATGATCACCTCCTTGGTCCCCTTTCTCTCTGGCTGGCCAACTCCCTGGCTGCAGGAAGAGCCCAGGGTTGAGCCAAGCCAGCTCCTTTCCTCTCTTCCATCTGCATCACCTTCTCTCTCCCTCTACTTCTTTCCCCTGACTCACAGAGAGCTGTCGCCCAGGCCAGGGAGGCCCTGGCACCACCTTTTTCAGGCCCTGTCCACTGTCCCTCGACAACCATGGCTGGAATCTCAGGGCAGCAGTGGGAATACGTGGTTTTCACTTCCAGCTCAACCACTATATATATATATATATATGACCTCCCCATATATATGTCTGCTGCAGGCCTGTTTTCCCATCTGTTAACTGGGCTTCACTAGATGACTTCTAGCAAATCCCAGCTTTGGAAGGCCAGGCATCCAGGCCCGAAGCAAAGGCAGGAGCATCAGCTTCCCAGCTGGACAGTCCCACAAGATACATACAGGGTCAAATCTAGTCCTATATCCCGAGAGGGTGGGGAAGGGCCGTTGGCACAATCCGAGCAAACAATTACAAAATGAGCGGTGGCACTCTTCCTCTCTACTGCCCTTCTCTAATTCGCTCTGTATCCCATCCTCCCAAACTAAGATGGCTGAAACTTCGGCCAAGGGGGCCGCAGACCCCCAACCCTACCTTACCTCCTTTCTCACCAAATTTACCCCTCCCCATTAGGGCCCAGTTTCAGGGGCTGCACGAGGAAGACAGCCTCTGGGGATGGAACGTATGTTCACCACAGGGGCTGGTGGCTGCAGAGAAATGGCACCTGGGGACAGAGATTCTGCTTAGGCACTTAGGGAAGGCAGCTGGGGACAGAGGGGCGTGGTTTGGAGAATGGGCGTGGGCGGAGCGGGCGGGGCTCTGCGGGCACTAAGAGCAGGCGGCGGGGGCGGGGCCGGGCCGGAGGCGGGGCCTGGCCCTGGGCTCGGGGCGGACTTGACGATGGTGATGACGCTGGCCGGTGCCACGAGCGCCGCAGGGCCGCGGGCGGCAGCCACAGAGCGCGCGAAGCCCTGCAGGGCCTCGCACTTGCCGCGCAGCGCGTCGAGCTCCAAGCGCATGGCGGCGTTCTCGCGCGCCAGCTTGTCCACCTCGCGCTCCAGCTCCGACTTCTGCTTCTGCAACTCCTCCTTCTGGCACACGCGCTTCACGCGGCAGCTGGCCGCGTAGCCACGGTTCTTGAGCGTGCGGCGCCGCTGCTTGAGCCGGGTCACCTCCTCCGCCGAGAGCCCGCGCAGGTGCCTGTTCAGCTCGCGCACCGACAGCCCCATCAGCGCCTCGTCCGACAGGTGCGGCGTGTTCTCGCTCAGCTCGCGCTTGATCTGCGGCAGCAGGTTGGGCTCATGGGGAAACTGAGGCCCAGGGTCGCACCCGGGTCTTGGGGCCCTGAGCCCTGGACCTGGTGTGCAGCAGGTGCTGGGGACGGCTTCCTTTCCATCACTAGTGCTCCCCCTTCACCGCCAGCGACACTGAGGTGGTGGCTGGACTTGCTCCAAGGCTCCGAAGGGGAGCAAAAATCCCGAAAGGGGAAACCCGGCCAAACCCTGATCTGAACACAAAAGGAGCCACCCCAGAGCTCAGCCCAGATTCTAACCCAGCTACCGGGCCTGCACTCTGCCAGAAAAACCCAGGAAGGCACCTTTTAAGCCAAGTGGACATTGTCCCAGTGGGGAAGCAGATCTAGAGAGGGAAGTGCCCTGCCCTGGGGCAAACAGCCTATGGCTCCAGCCCAGGCCTCCTGGTTCCCAGCCCTTCTGTTGGCTTCATGAGTGTCTGATGCCTGCTGAGCTACTCTTGGAGATTCCAGAAACTGAAGGGGACATTGGGATGGGAGTCAGCCTGGGCAGGGAGGGAGGAGAGGACTGGAGATAGTAAGGGCTGCCTTCTCACCTTCAGGGCTTTGCTGGATAAAGGATCCACAGACATGTTTGCAGAAGGTGTCCTCTGGATTGAGACCTAGGGAAGAGAAGAGACCAAGGTAAGTTTATTTTTTTTCACTTAAAATCCAAACTCACTATCTTGGCATTCAAGCCCCATGCTGTCTTAGAACTCTTATCACTTTCCTCTGTCCCAGTGGTCCAGCCACAGTGGCCTCATTGAATTCCAGCCTCAGGACCTTTGCACTTACTACTCTCTTACTTGTTCTCTTCCCTTTTATCTTCCCATAGTGACTCTTCATCATTTAGGTCTTTCCTCAATGCCACGTCTTCAAAGAGTTCGAACTATCTGGCTAAAACACTCCTTGTGCCATATCACATAACCCCATTTACTAACCCACATACAAGTCACCTTCTGCAATCATTTTGTGTTTGATGACTTGTTTGTGGTCTGTCTCTTCCTCCCACACCTCCTCCACCAAAATGTAAGCCCATGAGGGGCAAGGACTTGCCTGTCCTACCACTGAATCAGTATGCCTGAATAAGTGTCTGGCACATAGTAGGTGCTCACAAGTAAAAATATGCACCAAATGAATGGATCCCCCTCTCCCCCATCCATTCTTCCACATGGGGATTTTATTTTATTTTTTAAAGTTTTCATTAAAGTGTAACCTACATTCAGAGAAATGCACAAATATGTGTATTAGTCAATGCCTTCGTTCACAAAGTCCAACCAGCACCTCATTAAAATATAATATAAACCAGTCCCCTCCCCTCCCCCTGCCCAGGGCTCCCTCATCCAGACCTGTGTTCTAGAAAAGCTTCCTGCACATGGAGGCTGCCCAGCACTAATTCAGCACTGCCCTGGCAGACAAGACTGCCATACCTAGGCCAATGAAGGGCACATTGGCGCTCAATGCCTCCTCCATGGGCCTGAAAGCCCCATGTTCACTCAGCAGATACTTATTGAGCACCCACACATGTGCTTGGCACTGGGGAGACAAGGAAGGCACATTCTAGGGGCCAGTGGTCATTGCTCTGGGCTGGGAAGGGGACTGTCTCCCTGAGCCCCCTTTAAACAGCAGTCCTCTCTGTCCCCAGATGATCTGCTCTTCTCCTCCATTCATTTTTAGCCTGAGTTTCCTCATCTGATAATCCTTAAGGGGAGGCAGTGGTGGTGAGGAGCAAAGGAGAACAGGGCAGGAAAGCGCTTTGTAATCTGAGACTCAGCATCCTGCCAGTTCTCATTAGCAATACCCAGTTTGATAGAGAGCAGGAGGGAGTAAAACCCGGGTCCACACCCTGGTTCCATCAGCTGTCTCTGGGGCCGGCCTCTCAGCCTCAGCTCAGCGTCTGACCCATCCCTGCCGGCCCAAGAGTCTCTCGGAGACACTAGAGAAATGGAAAGTATATGGACTTTGACACCAGAACCACTGGGGCCTTTCAGAGGTTGTCCCCGTCGGTAGCTTTAGGATTTTGGCAAATCAGTTAACTTCTCTGTGCCTCTGTTTCCCCATGGGTGACATAGAGTAGCTGTGTATTAAGTCAGATCATTTACTTCTTCCTCAGGACCCTCCCTTGGCTCCCAGCTCACTCGGATTAAAGCCAAAATCATCACAGTGGCCCTCGAGGCACTGCATGATGTGGCCTCAGCAGATGCCTCTGACTTCAGCTCCCGCTTCACTTCCCCTCCCTCACTCTGCTCCAGCTACACCTGCTGTTCCTCAAACACACCACACATGCTCCTTGGGACCTTTGCACTGGCTGTTCCCTCTGCCTGGTATTCTCTTCCCGTAGATAGCCACAAGCTTGCTTCCTCACTTCCTTCAAGTCTCTCTTCAAATCTCATGTTCTCATTCATTTTAGAATTCCCAGCCCTGATACACACACACACACACATACACACGCACTCCCTGTCTCCCTTCCCTACCTCATGTCTCTCTAGCATCTCTCACTGTATAGAACTGTTATTACTCACATATATTTTATGTATTTGTTCATTATCTATCCCCCCCATTAGAATGTCAGCTCACAACAGAGGAGCTCTTGTCTGTTGCTGTATCCCCAGTGCTTAGAGCAGTGCCTGGCACATAGCAGATGCTCAAGTAATGGTAATTGACTTCTCAGTGTGACTCAGGCCAACATGGGAACAGCCCAGGGCCTCTCAGGAACCGCCCCCCACCCCAGCTCCTCCCGGCCCACAGAGCCAGTGCATCTGTCACCCCAGAGGGAAGCAAGAAGTGGGGCAGGAAAGGGAAGCTGGCACTTCAAGAGATCCCCTGACAGAGGGCAGCCCCCTGGCCCTTGGACTGAGAGGGTCCTCAGAGCCCCTCAAGCTTCTTGTGTAACTGGGGGAAACTGAGGCCCCAATAGTCCCAAGTCAGGACCCTAACCTTTCACAGATACTACCTGGAGACCCTCATACACCACCCCAACCAATCCTACCCTTCAGGACAGGCCTCTTAAATGGCCACCTTCCCCCAACACACATACACACACCTCAGAGGTCCCAGTACACCTCCCTGCCGGCCTTAGCGCATGCTCCACTCAGCAGCTGGACGCTCTTTCCACCGCGTGAATCTGACCATGTCACCACCCAGATGCAAACCTTGCGTGGCTCCCTATTACTCTGGGGACAAAGTTATGGCCCACTCGTGTGGCACCCTCAGGCTCATTTCCCATCACTGCCCACCTCCATTCTGCACTCCAGCCACGAGGAATTTCTTTCACTTCCTCTCACCCCACGCTTTCTTGCCTTTGAGCCATCCCAAACCTTGTGATACTTCTTCCCCCACCCCCACTTTAATCTGGCAGATTCCTACTACTAGTCAACCTTTTGCCCTGGGCATAGACACCTCTTCCTCCAGGAAGCCCTCCCTGACTCCAGGGACTTGTTAGGCCTGCCCACCCCAGGAGTTCTCCCCTACATTGTAATGGTCTGTTTCCTTGTCTCCTCACCAGACAGGAAGCACCACAGGAAGGAACCAGGCTGAGGCAGCTCTGGATGCTGAGGGCCTAGCAGGGAGCAGGCACCGATGAGGTGTGGATGGGTGGAATCTATGACACTGTCCGCCACCCAGCTTGTCAGGGTCTGAACTGAGTGCCAAGCTCAAGCCCCACTGAATACTGTCAAGAGAAAAACTTCCTGGCCCTGCCTCCAATTCTTCCTCCTTTCCATCTGCCTCCTTGCTTCTGCATGGCAGGGACTGGTATGCAGACGCCAGGAGACTGGGAAGGGAGCAAAAGGATTGTAGCCTCAAGACTGGCTCCCAGATGGGATGTGGGAAACAAGGAAAGGAGCATGGGATTAAGGGTCCCGCCTGGGTTTGAGTCCCATCTCTGTTTTCTCCAGGCTGTGTGACCATGGGCAAGTCACTCTACCTCTCTGGGTCTCCATCTGTAGGATGGGAACAGTATCTGACTCACAGGGTTTTGGTGGAAACAAGTGGTAAACCAGAGAGGTCAGTGAGTGTCTGGAAGGTTATTAGAATTGCTGAGTCTGTCCATGAAGGGTCAGGCCTGTAGCAATTCCTGGGACTTCACTTGGACTCAGCATCTTCTGCCTGGCCAGGGTCTCACAAGAAAGGCCCTTAGAGACCAACTGGCTCCTGCTTCCTTTCTTTACCCAAGGGGAAGTGGAGACCAGAGAGGGGCATCTCTTGCCTGAAGTCACACAGCAGGTGAACGGCTGCCTCCCCCCAAATCAGGAGGAATTCTGAACACCTGTAAAGGCCCCAGGACTGACTCCTGATCCTTTTCACACCATCATCACCCTGGTTCTCTTGTCGGCCCTGGGAGGTAATGGCCAGAGAGGTCAATAGGGTAGTCCAAGGTCACACAGCTAACAGGGGGTGGAGCCCAAAACTGAGGCCACACTGAGCCACATGTCTCCTCTCAGTGTGGCCCTCATGGGGTACCCTCTCTTGGCCCTGTTTCCCTACCCCTGTGAAGAGAAGGCTGGACTTGCCAGTCTCCAAGGCTGCCCAGCCCTGATGTGCCAGCATTTATGTTGGGTCTGCCAGGGATATGCAAACGAATATCCAGAGATTCAGGCCCCCTTGCCACCTATCCAGAGATCTGGGATGTTAGGTGACACCCAGGCAGTCTGGGCTACACAAAGAGACCTGATGGGAGAGGGGAAGCCTCTCCTTACGTAGACTGACTGAGCCTGTTGGGTGCTGAGCACTGGGTGCTGTGGCTGATGCAGAACCTTGGAGGCCTGGCCCCTCACACAAGTCATTTTTCCTCCCAGGACCTTGGTTTCCTCAAAAAAACAAAATGGGGACAATCATAGCTATGTAAAATACAAGGGGCTTAGACAAGATCAGAAGGGGCATGTGGTTGGTTTATCTCACCGTCACCCCTCCTTCCATGCTCACGCAGGCATCAGTAATCTCGATCACAGCACTTTTCCCACTGAGCTTGGACACAACCTTGGAATCCTTTCAACACAGTCTTCCAGAGTAGGCGCAAGAGGAAACTGTTGGCCATCTATATAATGTTGGCCATTCTATATAATGGCTGAGGGTCCCGCCCGCTCCACTGGCTGTGGTTCTAAGTACGTTGGGGCCCTAGGGAGGCTTTGAACCTATTTTTCCCTCCTTCCCTCCTTCTCTTCCTGTTCTCGCCTCAGCCCCCTCAAGGGCACACTGGATGTCAGCTGAGGCGCCCACGTTTGCCCGGGACTGTCCTAGCTCAGCAAAGTCAGGCAATCACAGAGGGAAAGTCACAAGAAGGGGGAACTTTCCAATAGCCTCAGGCTCTCGGCCTCCAACTTCAGGCCAGGGGCTGGTCAGCCAAGGGGCACGGGGCCTTGGCCAGTCTGGTAGACCTTGGACCTGAGACATCAGCTGATCCAACCTCCTTGTTCTGTAACTGAAGCAAGCAAGCTGGAATCCAGGAGTCCTGACCCCTGCCCAGGGCTCTTTCTTCAATGCCAGCCACCAGACGGCCCCGACCCCCAACCCCCAACCCGTGCTTCTTCCCTTCTCTTTGAGGCCAGCAGAACTGACCTCCAGGGTCAGTAGGTTCCTAAAATTCCTTGGGAGGCATGGAGAATGAACTTACTCTCGGGGGATTGACAGCTGCCTTGCCCAGTCAGCAGCCACATCCCTGACCCCCTAGTCCTCTACAGAGACATCCTGTAGACGGCCCACCCACTGGCATGGGCTCCTCTCTGGCTGCTGAGCCATTCTGCTTCCTCTGTGAGGACAGAGGGAAAAAATGTGTTTTCCTGGGCCTTGGCAGCCAGCACTGGTGTAGCCTCCTCCCTGCTCGAAGGGAAGCAAAGCTGGGAGAACCCAGCACTGTGGGGAAGTAGGAGCCTGAGGGATCCAGCTCTGGTTCTACCACCTGCTCACACTTGCTGTGTGTCTTCACGTATACCACTCCCTCTCCCTGAGCCTCAGGTTCCCAATACACCAAACCAGCAAGCCTAAAATACCTCCTAGCACTGACAATCTCAGAGTTTAGAGTGTCACATTCCAACGTGGATTGGAGCTCCAAGACCACCAGCAGAGTAGAGGCCCTGGAGGAAGGGAAAAGAAACCAAGGAAGGCTTCCTGGGGCCAGGGGCATGAGAACACAAACTCAGAGACTATCAGCCTTGACCATCCCTCTACTCCACCTGCTTAGCCAGGGACCACTTCTTTCAGCTGAACCATGGGCAAAGCCACCTCCTCACTGGGCAGTCTTGCCTACCTCCACCATCTATCCTCCCCCAAGAGCTGTCAGAAGCATCATGACTGACAAGAACTGACAAACCTGACCACGTTTGGCCCATTTCAAAACCCAGCCTCCCCGCCACCCCATATGGTGGGGCCTGTTCTCTCCCAATCTCTCCTAGGATCCTCATGCTGACAACAAATGAATGAGTAGACAGTAAACTCTAGCGTCCCTGCACATTTCCCAAAGGGACACACGAGGGGTGTATGTGTGTGTGTGTGTGTGAAGGAAGATGTCACCTGGGCCCTGAAGGATCTACACACTTTTGGAGACTGCTTTAAGACTCCTATAGCCCGTGCCCAGGCTTCTTGCCTCCCAGGGCTCCCAGGCCTTTTTCTCCAGGTGTTGTGGAGGTCTACCAGGACACTGACCCAGTGCTCACTCATTCATTCAATCAGCAAGCATCCAAGAAGCACCTACTCTGTAGATGCCAGGCTGGATGCTGGGCCCTGAAGGCCCCAAATTGAATCAAAGCCCCTGCCCTCAGGGGCTACACAGACCATCATGGCTTGATCTTACAACCTGGCTCACTGGTCTCCTCGGGGAAGCCTTCCTTGATTGCTCTGGCTAAGTTGGAGCTCTGTTATAATCTTTCAAACCACAGTGACTTCCCCCTCATGCCTCCCATCTCAGTTGTGGTTTTTGCCTTTAGTTTAGTGGCTCCCCCTTTACCATTGTCTCTCCTCCTCGACTGTAAGCTCCCAGATGGGAGGCTCTGGGTCTGATTTGCTCACCATCGTATCCCAAGTATCTAGTTCTCGACAGGCTCCATGGCAATGAAGGCTAAAAGCATCAGGACTGAGGGAGGCATGGGGGCCAAGGGAGTCCTACTGAAGGCCCAGGGATGATGATTCAGTGGGAGGTTAAACCTTTAAGTACTAGCCTTCCCATCTATGACTGAGTCAACCAGCTGCTTCTTCTTGTCCCCTGATCCCTAGCCCTCCTCCGGGATGTTTCCTTCCCAGCTTTGAGGATGGGCCTGCATGATTCCTTGCTTCTGGCGGCCACCTCCTTTACCTGAACCTCACATATTCCTGGACCTCTCTGGCCTAGCCTGGGGCTTCTGGCTCTATTTTCTTTCCCAGAGTTCCCGTCGAAAATAGGCTGTTTGTGGAGGCTGCCATATGCCCCCCAATCCACCCCCAGCTTGGATGTTGCCTGATTCCTGCCGCAGATGGGAATACTGCAGATGGGGACATGGAGTTTCCCAGCCGTGGTAGGAGAGCTCACCAGGGCTCAAAGAGTCAAAGTTAAAAGATCACCTGGTTCCCCACCCCAGCGAGCTCAATTACCCCTACCCCTCAATGACTGTATAGCCCTGTGGGTGGGAAGACAGGGAGGGCAGAATAGGACCTAAGAATCCCTAGACCCTAGCCCATCCCTCAGAGGGGGCGGGTCGAGGTCTGGGCCCCACCCCTCTTACATTAGCTCTTCTTACACCAAGAACAGCTGTCCCTTTGCCCGTTGACCATCGCTGGTCCAGGCCTTCAACTAGTTCCTCAGGTCCAGCCATGAGTAGGTCTGTCTGACTAGTCCCATCTGTGAACTGAAACCACCAGCCGGGCAGAAACCAGCTCCACCCCAGCCTTCGGTTCTCACCCTCCCAGACCCAGCAGGTACAACCCCTAGAACCCAGACCAGCCAGAGGAGTAGCCACCGAAGAGAGGAAGGAAGCCTGGTATCCCTTCCTACCTCCGACCTTTGCCGTGGGTTTTTCTGGCCCTTCCTGTTCTCCTGAGACTGAGGGGTTGGGCAACCCTGGCGGTGAAGGAGCGTCCAGAGGGCAGGATCTGCAATCCTCCGGGAGCCGGAAAACCTGGGGACAAGGACCTGGGCACCAGCCCACTTTGTTGCCAGACCCACCAGGGTTGCTGGGGCCCGGGGTGGCCCCTAACCTCGTCCCCCAGTCGAGCCCGGTGGGATCTTTGATATTTTGCCCCACCCTGTGGCTGAAGGCGCCGGCTCTGGGCGGGGGACAACACCGCGGTCACATGGCCACGGTCCTGGGAAACTCCGGGGAGAGCAAAGGCTCGGCCGCCGCGGGTTGGTAGGAAGGGGACAGTCCGGTCCAGAATTCCTAGACCCCTTTTGACTACGGACTGGGCCGGTTCCCTCGCTCCGTCCCTATTCCGTGTTTATTCCTGTGGGCACGCTCTCTTAGAGGTACGCTCGGCTGGAACACAGGCCCCAGGGTCTTCACCCGCCTGGGAGCGCGCGCGGACGCACACTTCAAGGTACACTGCGCACACATGCAGCGGTCAGGATACCCAGGACGCTAGCCAGGGAACACACACACACACACACACACACACACGCACGCACGCCCTCGGACGTAAACAAACCGCGCACGCACAGCCCGCGGGCACCCATCCAGGGACTGTTCTCACCGAGTCACGTACATGTACACACCGCCCCCAGCCCCGCCTGGGCGGACGCTGAAGCTCGCCAGCCCGCGCTACCCTTTCCTGCCGGCTTCGCCGCCTCCCGGCCCGCGCCTCCAAAAGGGGCCCATCATCCCCAAAGCCCGACAAGCTTGCTTCGACCGCGTCTCGGTCCCGCCGGACCTCTGCACCACCCCCAGCCCCGACCCCCACCCTACTCCAGCGGTCAGGGCGAGAGAGCTATGGTAGCATCGAAGGAGCGCGCCCTGGCGTCCCGCCCCAGGCAGGTTCCCGGGGCGCGGAGACCCTGTCGCCTCCGGGCCCCGCGCGCCCGTCCTGTTCCGGGCCCCACGACCCTCACCCGCCTCTCGGCCTGCTTCGCCTGGCGTCCCTGGCACGCGCGGGTCCCGCTGCTGTCCCCGCTGCTGTCGCGGCCGGCGCCTTCGTCCGTCTTCCCCTCCGGTTCCGACCGCGGGTCGCTCGGAGCCGGGCTCTGGGGAGCGCCGCGCCGAGTTTTGTTGTGGGGCGGGTAGCGCAGGGGGCCGCGCCGAGTTGTAAGGCGAGCTTCCCGGAATTACTCACTCACAGGATTCCTTTCATTCATAAAAACCCAGTCATGCGGTGACGTCATCGCCTCGGCCGCTCCCCCCAGGCCTCTGAGCGGCCTCCCGACTCCTCAGCCCCGCCCCCGGACGGCTCCGCCCCGGATAGGCCCCGCCCACACCAGGCCCCTCCCCTGGACTTTCAATCCCAGTTGGAGCGCTGGCTGCGGGCATTCACGTGACACCGCACCAGAGTCGCTCGGGTGAAGGTTTCATTTGTCTCATTTTACAGTCCTGGGCGTCTTCTCCTTTCGACCTACACCCTGTGCCTTGATGATCTCATCTAGTCTCGTGGTTTTAAATGCTATCTCTATGCTCCGGAGCCCCAAATTTTTATTTCCAGAGCAAACAGCTTCTCTGGGTTCCAGACTATGTAACTGCCCGCCTCAGTGCCTCCACGTGGGTACCAGATGGGGACCACACACCTGCAGGGCCACAACCTAACTACAGAGCGTCAACCCTACATCAGCAACCCACATCCCCAGACTCCCCCATGTCAGCTGTTCAAGCCCAGACCTAGGAGCCTTGCTCCATCCCTTTCTCCTTCCTCCTCACCTCATGAGTCAGGTTGATTCTACCTCCAACACTACCCTGCATTTGACCCCTTCTGTCACCCCTGGTCTTACCACCTTGTCCAAGGACCATCAACTTACCTGGACAAAGGCTGCAGCCTCTTGATATCTTCCTCACTTTGCCCCTAAAGGCTTTCTTCACATACCAGAAAATGTACTTCTCAAAACAAGGATCAGATTGTTTCAGGCTATCCCACCCTGTGGCTTAACACCCTCAAAAGTTTCCCTTTGCATTTAGAATATAAACTATACTCCTCCCTGTGGCCTACAGGGCCTAAGCCATCTGGCCTCTACCCAGCTCTGCAGCCTCACCTCCTGTCACTCTTCCCTCACTACTACTCTTCAGCCACACTGCCCTTACTGTTCCTCAAACACATCAAGCTCATTCCTGCCACAGGTCCTTTGCACTTGCTATTTCTACTTCTTTTCCCTGTCATCCTTCAGGTCAGCTCAGATGTCATGGCCTCAGAGAGGCCTTTCCTAACAGTCCTGGCTAAAGGCACCCCCACCTCTGAAATGTGTTTTTATATTACTTTAATATCTCCAAAGGGTATTATCTTGCTTATGTATTTGCTTACTATTCAGTGTCCTTCTCCAAACCAATGTAAGTTTCATGAAGGTAGAACCTTGTCTATCTTGTTGACCACTCCATGTCCTGTGCCTAGAACAGTGCTTGACACATAGTAAGCCCTCAATAAATATATGTTGGGGAAATAGAAGAGTGGAGGCTCAGAGAGGTAAAGTGACTTTCCAAAGTTACCCAGACAGGAAGTACAAGAACTGGAATTTGAATCTAGGCCTGACTAATTCCTGATCCAGACATTTGGGGCTATGCCCACCTCAGTGAGGCCCAGCATAAATGTAAGGGATATATTCAGGACCTGGAGCTCCACTCAAAAGAGGTGGCTTTGAGAGCAAAATGGAAGGCTGTCTCAGTTCATTCTTCTCTTTGCTCATGGTGTTTCCATTGTCTGAAATGCCTGCTGTCACTCCAAGAGCCATCTCTTCTGTGAAACTGACATCACAGGACCTACCTTGTTTTACTGAGTATGGCATAGGACCTCCCCAACCAGAGTCTTTGTGTGGAGCCCTGGTCACCCGTAAGGCTCCCCCTGCCCTTGATGTAGTATAATTTCATTTCAGACCCCTTGTTACACCTCCTTGCCTCTGGGCCTTGGGTCACCTGAGATTGTGACATCACTTACATCCCAAAAGTCTTGGGTTTCACATGCAAATTGTCGCACTAGCTTCCCAAGTAATCAAATGTTATAGCAGCTTTGTCTGGCACTCAAATAGTTCTCCTCAAAAAATTGTCCCTTGCTTTCCATTTACATATTGAAGAGAGCCACTCATGTTACCTCTTGGGGTACAAAGACGCGCAGTTTTAGACACTGCACAACTGTGATTGTTTTCTCTATCTTTCATTTTCTATGAGCTTTTCCAAAGCCACAGTAGATGCTCAACTAGTGAACAAATCCCCTGGGGATCTTCACAACACCCCCTGGACACCATGCTCTCTCCCATCTCCCTCCTGCCTGCTTTAGGGGCTCAGTGCATCAGTATCCACCCAGCAGGGACTGCTCCCCAGGGATATCGCTCCCTTCCTGGCCAAGGTCAAGGGACATGGTGCAATATCATATTTAAAAGTGGGAGCTCTCTGGCTTGAAGGGGTTCCTAATGGCCAAATATGGACAATCTGAGCATCAGAAGAAATAGCAGTAATCATGGCTTATAGCCTATAGAGTAAAAGAAGAAGCCATGGATCCATATTAATATGAATAAATAAGAAAGGAGAAGAGAAAGTTCCTCCCTCAAGTAGAAAGAATGATAGAATTAGAAAATGACCATTAGGACCACCATAGTAATAATAGATTCCAACAAGAATCATCAATGTTTAGGAAAATTTGGTGAGAAACGAGATATTACATGGCTTCAAAGTATTGCTCTATGGACAATTATTAATTACCAATAGAAAGATAATAACTCTACTGTGAGGAAACCTGGCAGATACCACCTTCACTAAGTGACCAAAGTTACATCACCAGGAACGGGATAAATTGACACGTGTTGGCGCGGAAAAGGACACAGCGTCACTTCTGTGGTGTTCTTGCCATAAACTGATACAATGAATCTCTTTGTGAAGAAACAAAAGACAAACCTAAATTGAGAGAAATTCTACAAAACAACTGGAACTGTACGCTTAAAAAAAATGACAGGATCATGAAAGATAAAGAAAGGAGCACTGTTTCAGATTAAAGGAGCCGAAAGAGATGACTGAACACAATGTGTGATCCAGAGTTCTCTTTTGCCGTGAAGGTAAAATCTGAACAAGGTCTGTAGACTAGATAATGTATCGTATCACTGTTAATTTCTTGATTTTGATCATTGTCCTGTGGTCATGAGAATGTCCCTGCTTTTTAGGCAACACACACTGAAGTGCTTAGAGGTAAGGGGCATCTGTCTGCAGTTTACTCTCAAATGGTTCAAAACAAGATCAGGAGAGAGGGAATTACAAAGTGTGATAAAATATTGACAATTAGGGAATCTGAGTGAAGAGCATATAGAAATTCTCTATCATTCCTGCAATTTTTGTTTTAGTAAAGAAGTAGGGTTTTGTTTGTTTGGTTAAAGTAAAGGCTTTCAAGTTAGCCTGTAGACTCAAATCTCAGCTTCACCCCTGACCAGCTGAGTGACTTAAACTCTCCCATCTCAGTCTCCTTTGTAAACTGGGTTTATTAATCGTGCCTGCTTCATGGATTGTAAAACAATTTATTGGGTTCACACTTAGAAGCATTTGGCACAGTGCCTTATATGGAATAAAAGATCAATAAATTTGGGGGCCCCTGGCACACTCCCTCTGAGAAACCTGCTTCCTCCACAGGTGAGTGACACAAAGCCAGTGGTGATGTCACCCTGCCCAGAGAACCCACCTCCCATCAACAGGGAGGGGCCTTGTTGTCAGTTTCTAGGGAGGGAGCCACCCTCTGCCAGCACAGTCCAACAGACCTCTAACCGGCCCAGCTGGTCCCTGTTCACTTGCCCGAGGGTCCAAAACACCACACAGCACCCAAGCAGGTCCCTGCGGGAGCCTGGCCCACTTTAGGTGCCCTGCCCACTAGTAGCTGTTCAGTAAGCAGGCTTGAGCCAAGTTAGGATGTGCAGCTCAGATCACACCTCTGGCTGATCCCAGAGTGGGGCATTCCTCAGTCCAGGCCTCAGTTTCCCCAATTGCAGAGTGAGAGCATAGGATTAGGTCAGTGGTTTCTCAACAATCTCTAACCACAGTAAACGTCCTTCAAATGAAAGTTGACTCTGCAGCACATTCTGCTTTGTAAAACAGCTAGGAGCTGGGCCTCGCCAGAGGAGACCTGGGCTGGCTTTAAGGTTCCCCTGTTGGGTATTCTCTGGTGGCCTTTCCTGCCCTGAGATTTGATTTCCAGGCCGCCATCAACTCCTGTCCCTGCACTTGTGAGCCTACCCCGTCCCCCTCTGCAGGGCAGCCTCCATCAGCAGGTTATCTAGTCCCATCGCTTCCACCCATCACATGCCCCTTACTGGTCTTATTACTGCGTATTACTTCTGACTGTCCTTTTCCTATTACATTTATGAAATGCTTCTTCTGAGCCAGGCACTGAGCCAAGTGCCTAAGACCGGTTTGCATCATATATATTTCTCCAGCTCTTTTCTCCCACTGCTAAGTAAACCAATCACTCCAACATTTATCTGTACTTTTGTCACATTTTAATATCTTTATAAACTCAACTTTTCCTTCTCACAATAGTCCTCCCTAGTGAGAGGAAATGGTGGTGCACAAATGATCAGCTCCATTTTTAAAGCTAAAGAAATGGACTGATTTATGGGTTCACTACCTGCCCAGGAAGTACCCCCCAGTTTTTGGCTGTGGTGTGCCTGTCTGATTGCCCTGAATCCTCTCCCCCAATTTTAGGAGTTAGGTATTAGCATCGCTATGTTGCAGGTGAGGAAACTGAGACTCTGAGAGGTGAGGGAACTTGCCCAACATCACACAGCCAGTCCCTAGCAAAGGAGGACTTGCGCTCAGGCTGGTCTGTTTCAAGGGCCATGTTCTCTCCCCGGCCCCCGCCAGGCATAACCCTTGGGCTTTGTTGGCGAGAGATGTGCTGTTTCACATGGGTCATTCCTCCTGTAGGGGGGATTTGTGTCTTCCTCCTTCTCTTCTTCCCTCCTATTTTTAAATCATAAGACAAACTGGGCTGGCAGAGGGTGTCCCTGCACTGAGTGTCTGTCTGCAGGCGTCCTGGGTCTGGGCTAGAGATTGTCCAGCAGGGAGAAAAATAGGTGTGAACAAATCCAGACAACCACAGTATCTACTGTTGTCCCATCTGTGAGATACTTTCTTTGTGACTCCTTATCTCACAAAACGCTATGAGGCAAGTGTCTTTATTATCCCCA